AATCACTGAAGACAAAGCGGTACATAAGCAAATGTGGTGAAGAAAGCTGAAGGAGCCCGGCTATCAAAAGAAAGACATAGGTCCCACATGCTCTGAGTAAGAGTTCAGCTCTGTCTCTGGAGTACCAGTCCCAGAGCTGTTCCCCCTGGAGCTGTAATGCGCAGCAAGGAAAGGCAGAGGCACTGCTGTCCAGAACAGGGATTTCCCAACAGGCCTGTGGAAGCGCCCACAGACCCTTTGTCCCTGTCCAGATTTTGGAGGTTGTGCTACAAAGCACACTTACTCTAGAAGAAATTCACCATGGGTGATTTTGTGTGGGTGCCATTAACTACTTGGGAGCATGTTTTCTACCAAGAAAGCAGGGCATACAAAAATGCCTAAGATATGGATTCTGCAAAATAGGGCCAAACAACAAAACTGGGTGCAGCATATGTGAAGTAAGGTAGAAACCTGACTATATCTTGATTACATCAGACATTAAGAAAGCAACTTTTACTAGCTCAGCTCAAGGCAAGCAGCAGATGATAATGGAGAAAATCCCAGAAATATGCTAGAGTTGGAACAATCAATCCATAATGCTCTGTGGACTGTAAATCCCATGAAGTTATCAGTCCAACCCTGAATCCACTTGGGCACTGTGCCTCCTCAGGATTACTGAGGGTCGATCAATTCCACTTAGATGGAATTGTATACCCAAAGAATGGAAAGCAGGGGCTCAAACATGCGCTTGTACACCATACTAACTGAAGCACTATGCAGAATAGGCAAAAATGTGTAGGAAGCAGTGTAGCATTTTGAGAGCATTAGAGGGATAACTATACAAGTAACCTAGAAAAGACAAATCTATAGACATTGAGTTAATTCCAAATCATAGTGACCCTGTAGGACAGAGGAAGACTGCACCTCTTTGGGTCTCCTAGGATGTAAATCTTTATGGAATCACAAAGTGTCTTTCTTCCCCAGTTGTTGTATTAGAAAGGTGAAAACAAGACTTTTGGGGAAAATGCAGTAACAAGCCCAAACCCTAACCATCGGTGACCCTGCCAACAGAAATGGACGTAGCAAGTGTGGCCAGAGTGTGACTAACTTGGAAAAGAAGGCTTAAGACTTCTTTCTCCGAGGTGCTAAAGAAGAGGATCAGCATGCGCGGTTGCTTAGTGATAGGAAGACTCAAGAACACCAACAACCAACCTCACAAATCCGTATTTTATGAGTGTAAGACAATCTCACCCCTAAGGCACAAAGAAGATAAGCTGTTCTTTTGAAAAGACTTCCAAAAAACCTGACTCAAGAGAGAATCAACTTCCTCTAGAGGACAAGAGCCGATCATAAATTTGTTATAACTACACATGTGTAAGTTTGCTTTTTTACTCCTTGTCTATAGGTTTCGTGATGGCAGAGATAATACCTTTTGTTATAACTACAGTCCAAGAGCCTTAGCATAACCCTGAAAAAAAATATGAATGCTCAGTAAACAAGCAGCCTTCTAGCTCAGAAGCAACAAAGTCCACATGGAAGAACCATACCAGCCAGTGTGATCATGAGGTGCCGAAGGGATCAGTTATCAGGCATCAAAGAACAAAAAATCGTACATTGTGTGCTCACCTCCCTGATACGATCGCTGAATACAAATGGGAGCATAAGCAAATATGGCAAAGAAAGCTGATGGTGCCCGGCTATCAAGATATAGTATCTGGGGTCTTAAAGGCTTGAAGGTAAACAAGTGGCGATCTAGCTGAAAAGCAACAAAGCCCACATGGAAGAAGCACACCAGCCTGTGTGATCACAAGGTGTTGATAGAATCTGGTATCAGGCATCAAAGAACAAAAAAATCATACCATAGTGAATGAGGGGGAGTGCAGAGTGGTGACCCAAAGCCCATCTGTAGGCAACTGGACATCCCCTTACGGAAGGGTTGCAGGGAGGAGATGAGCCAGTCAGGATGCAGTGTAGCAACGATGAAACATACAACTTTCCTCTAGTTCCTAAATGCTTCCTGCTCCCCCTCCCACTATCATGATCCAAATTCTACTTTACAAATCTGGCTAGACCAGAGGATGTACACTGGTACAGATGGGAACGGGAAACACGGGGAATCCAGGACGGATGATCCCTTCAGAACCAATGATGTGAGTGGCGATACCCGAAGGGTGGAGGGAGGGTAGGGTGGAGAGCGGGAACCGATTGCAAGGATCTACATATAACCTCCCCCCTGGGGGTCGGACAACAGAAAAGTGGGTGAAGAGTGACGTCGGACAGTGTAAGATATGACAAAATAGTAATTTATAAATTATCAATGGTTCATGAAGGAAGGGGGAGCGGGGAGGGAAGGGAAAAAATGAGTTGCTGATGCCAGGGACTTGGGTGGAGAGCGGATGTTTTGAGAATGATGAGGACAATGAATGTAAAAATGAGCTTTACACAACTGATGTATGTATGGATTGTGATAAGAGTTGTATGAGCCCTTAATAAAACTATTAGAAAACAAACCAAAACAAAAAAAAAAATATGAATGCTCAGTAAGTTATTTCTGTGTAAGTAAATCAATGGTCTAAATCTAAAATCCAGAGCACAATATATACTCGAGTATAAGCCGACCCAAATATCAGCCAAGGCACCCAATTTTACCACGAAAACTGGATTTGAAAATGTGCTGAAAAACTAGACTTATACACACATGGGTATATGCAGTATTTATTTTTTTATTCATGCCAGGATCTAATGAATTTGGCATGTGATACTATCAAGTACAAGTGTGAAAACACCCAAGATACAAAGCTTTCTCAGAAACTAGTGGTATAATCCCCTACATCCTAGATTGTGTCAATCACACACAATGATAGCTGTTTGTGCCTCCTTATCACTCCTTACCTAGAAGCTTGTGGTGCTCATCTGTTTTGTTTAGTTCTTTTCTTTTTAACAAAAGTTTATTCTTAAATGTCAACAGGCTCCAAGACAACACTTCACCCTAACTATAAGTGGCAACAGATGTGATAGCAGGAATCCAGATGTTTAAATAGGAATAGAATCAAGGGTCATCTTGGCTTCCTGACTTCCTGATACTAATGGTTAATGACAGTCTTCACTATGTGCTGGGGGTGGGGTGGGGTGGGGAATTATTCCCTAGGAATCCTAATTTGAAAATATTTGGGAGAAATAAAGCCACACCGAAGTAAGGTCATACACTCATGAAGTCACAAGACTTTGCAAACAGATGTGTTGCCTAAAGAGTGATTATAAATAGTATGCAGGTGAGCAAATCAGGCAGATGTTAAATATTTAAAAACATACACACAGAGAAAGCTACTAAAATAATGACACTTAATGCATGCAGGCTAGTTTTCATTTTGATATTAACTCATTTACTTTTCCACACTCACCTGTGTGAGACTGATGAACAAGTTGTCTCAGGGGGTTAAAAAGAGTGCTGGTCATCTGCCCTGATGGCTGGCTCAGGCCTGTCATGGGAGTTTACCTAACATCCTGCCTGTCTGCAAGGGGAACAGACTGTTCTGTGACAGCAAAACAAGCTGTTTGCACAAATGCCCGCACCTGTACTACACATGTGCAAGTCAACAGCGTATTCTCAAGAGGCCGTGTTTATGAGACAAAGGTTTCTGTACATTGGCTGAGAATGCCAATTTGGAGAAAATACATACTTGGAAGGGACTTTTGTGATAAAAATCGAGTGACCAAAATTAAAATGGTCTACAAATGTTAGTTTAATTTTCAAAAATGGCATCTTTCATAGGACATTTTATAACTAACATTTTCAGAATCCTTTGCTGAGCTACTGAGGTGCTGGCTTCCAAATTACTGAAATGTTCTCTAAAAAGTGAAAACTGCTATGAAAATTTACACCCAAATGAAAACAAAAAATATGTAAAGCTCATAGGTACAGACATCTTCTAGCTTTCAACTACGGTCCTAAGGCCTACCCTGCAAGTTCATACGCTTCATCAAATCAGCAAGGGACTGTTTCTTAGCCTTAACTTGTGTTTACGCAGGTGTTAGAAATTTCTAATGACTACGACTTTTTTTCTCGATTATAAAATGAAATATTTTAATACAAGCATTGAAACGCTAAGATCATCACACTTACCTGTATGGCTTATCAGTGTTATGGATTCGTCTGTGGTTTCTGACACCAACATATGTTGTGCTTGTATAATCACACACATCACATCTATACTGTTTCTGGACTGAAGACTTATTCCCTAGACAAGGTATTTCAGAGTTTTAGCGGCAGGCTTTGATAAGATTCAAATGACAGCATTTACATTCCATTGTACATAGCATTAACACTTAAATCAAAGCTTTCTCGCTGCTTAAAGTTAACAGGTTTGAATATGAGTTTACAAGTTCTCCTGCATCTGGACTATCAGCAGATATAAATAGAATACTCTCTGATTTATAAACTTCAATAGGCTGGGCTAGGCTCCTGTATAACTTTGTACAGACATAAAAAACCATACTAATCATTGTCCTACCTGTCCTGATGACTATACTGTAACTAATACACTTTTTTGATTTGAATGGTCTTAGTCTGATATATATACTTTATATATACTTATTTGATTTGAAAGGTCTTAGTCTGATCAATAGTGAATATATTGTCTTTATTGCTAAAAGACTGGAAAACTGTAATACAATATTTCAAAGGGTAACTACAAATTATATATAACAGGCTCAGTATTTAAAAAAGGCCTAAAGCTTTTCACCTGTGGGTTTCCATTGTCAACTATCAATGCAACAATGGCAAGAACATCAACTGCAAATTATGTGCCACCCAATTGAGCATGATTCCAGCTCACAGACTGACAGGTAATAAGGACAAACGTCACAGGAATGGACATATACAGCTCTCTGAAATCCAAGAAACATAGGGTCCAGGAAAAACCATTCCTGGGACTAACCCCATTCTGGGACATTACAGCTTGGACACTCAAGTCAGGGCAAGGTTGTGATCACACAGGCTGAGTGGTTTGATGCTGGGAAACAGTTTCCTGAAGAGATTCAAAGCTGTATTAACTCTTCAATCAGCCTTAAATCCACAGGTAACTCACACCTGGCCAACCTTATATTCAAAAACAAAGTCAGCAGGGTCCTCCACTACAGGGCAGAGCAGGGAGGGGGGAGGTGTGTGAGCCTCTGGCAGCAGAGGACTTGGTGCCTGCCTGTAAGTGAGATGGGCGGTACAAAAGAAAACCCACATGGAAATTTCAGTGAAACAAAGAAAATATTCAAGTTAAATTTATGCTTTCTAAAATGGAAATTTTCTTCTGTTAATAACTACTGCCAGGCGGAACAAAATGTCCTAATTTCCTGGTATAAATCTGTAACATTAATATACACACTAATCATAATTATAATTTAAGTATTGCTCTTAATTGGTAGGTTAAAAACTTGGACTTGATTATAAGTGGCACCATTCCAAATACAATTTTTAAAAACTGTAGGGGGGGTGGTGCGGGGAAAGAGGGGGTGGTGGAAACATCGAAGTGTGAAATATTGGATAATGGTTTTCTGGGAGAAATATTACAGATCAATGACAACTAATAAAAATGACAGATGGAAAAACTTAATATAGCACAGCACGAGAGCCTGCGCTACTTTAAGCAACTGTTTCCAATGGAAAGAATATTGAATTTGAAGTTCAAAAACTTGGGCCTAGGCCTTATTCTGCTGCTCAGTACTGTGTGGGCTATTTCACCTCCTCTAGGAAGTAGCAGCGTGAGAGCTTCCCCTAACAGCTTGGCAAGTCGGGAGGACACACCCTGGACCTCTCCTGCCCTGCCATCTCTAAACTGCCTGCATGCTGGTCCTGACCCTAATCTGCCCAATGCCTGGAGGGTGGGGAACTGCTGCTGTGTGTAATTCCCCAGGCGTGGCAAATGAGAGCTTTCCACTCAAGAACAATGGTGCCCTCAAGAAACACCACAGGCCAAGTGCTCTGCCCCAGCTCTCCCGGCGAAAATGTGGGGTTTGCTGCCTTGCAGTTTCGTCTTCCCCACTAGGCTGGGTTTACCAAGGGCAGGGACGCCATCAGTGTACTTCTAGCACCTAGCACAGTGCCCTTCAGGCTGACCCTCTGGGACTGCAACATGTCCTCAGTTCTCTGTGTGGACACCTGGGCAGTCTGGGTGTCACAGAGCCTCACTTGCTCGCCCCTCTAGGCTAATCCATTTACTAAATGATCAACTGTATTTTAACAGACCAGGAACTGGCTGTACTTGCTTTTGGACCTAAAAACCTGATTCTGAAATACCTAGCACCTAATAGTCAGCACCAGGAACTTACTGGACAGCCTAGGTGGTAAAAGGGTTAAGTGCCTGGCTGTTGACCAAGCAACTGGCAGCTAGAAATCAGCAAGCAGCAGGTTCCTGGGCGAAAGGCTTGCTTCTGGAAGGGCAGACCGTTGCCAGGCCCAGGGAGCAGGTCGACTCTTTTTCTGCACATAAAGCTGCCATGTTGGGACTCATTCCACAGCAACTAACAAGGATTTTATTCAGTGTAAATACGCCAGAAGACACTGGCCCCTGGAATTATTGTTCTATTACTATGAGAGAAAAGCAAAGGTGCCGAACTGGTGGGGTGAGGGAAGGAAGGGAGGAGTGTGGTATGCAATTAAAAAAGCTATGCCTCAATTCGAAGAGAGCATGATCCACAAAGAAGAGGTGTTGCAAAATGGAATGTGGATGGGCATATACTCTAGGGCAGGCGTCCTCAAACTACTGCCCGCGGGCCACATGCGGCCCACTGAGGACATTTATCCAGCCCGCTGGGTGTTTTTGCCCTGTTTGCATTTTTACTTCAAAATAAGATATGTGCAGTGTGCATAGGAGTTTTTCATAGTTTTGTTGTTTTTTTTAAACTATAGTCCGGCCCTCCAATGGGTCTGAGGGACGTGAACTGGCCCCCTGTTAAAAAAGTTTGAGGACCCCTGCTCTAGGGGTTGAGCTGGTTATCTTTATTTGAAGCTGGCACTTTCTATTGCAAATGTGAGCTACAAGGAAGTTAGCCAAATCAGGCAGCTTAAAAACTGCTCTTTCAGCTGGTGCTAGAAAGGACCCACCCCACCACTATGTTAACTGCAGGGGTGCCGCTGAGTAGCACTTCCTTTAACTCTGCATTAGGGATTTATGGGGAAGCCGCAAAGGCTTTAATGTCTCCTTTACAGGGATATGCAGGCATAATGAATGAAACTAAAAGGAGGCATTTAAGGCAGTTTCGTGAAGAGGAAACAAAATGGCTTCGGCTCAGCCATCTATCTCAGAAACAGGTGCTATGTCATAAACTCCCTTTGTTTTGGATAGTTTTACAGGGGCGACATCTGTTTGACAAGGGAATTTCGGTGCTACAGCAGTGTCACAATCCCTTCTTTTAGGAACATTCTAGAATTCGTTATGCTTTCTGGGGTATAATTTAATGAAACATTATGGGAAAACATTTTACTCTGCAGTCATTTCTAACTTATTCTTAGGAAAGCTAAAACGGAAAGTCACCCCAATATGCTTTATGTCCCATAAACACTATGTCTGTCCCACGTTTGAGACATCAAGTATATCAATTTAAGTGAGCTGATGCAAGGAAGCACAGCTCTTATGCTGTATCCCTAATTCTCCGGATGTGGCATCCGCCTCTCCACAGTACTCTAATCAAATCTTTTCCTTCTAATATTTCTATTACCAGAAACCTGGCCAACTGGTGCATAACTGGTACACACAAAGATCTTGTGTGTGTGTGTATGTTTTAAATAATGCAGATGAAATCTGGCACTCATACTTGGGTAAGATCACAGCGGGAAGCCTCCACCGTTTGGGGTGGGGGCCTGCCATCTGCAGAAGCTGTGTTTTCACGGGTCAGCTGGTCCTGGGAGAGGGAGAGGAGACGGTTTACGCTGCAGCTGCTCTGGCCTGCTGCTGGAACATCAACTTCTACGGGCTCACTTCAACTGTACTATCTACCTACATCGTTGAAGCAGAGTCTCACTAACCTAGCACCCATGTCTTACCTCGGACTCAGTCATGTCTACGTTAGTACTTGGAATTACTTCAGGGACAGGGATCAGACCTACCAACATCCACATTAGAAAAGTAGGTGACTATATAGCTGAATATTCAGAACCCTGAAAATAACCCATACGAACTATTGAGGGCATTTTAAAACTTCCTATGCCAGTCAGTGCAGTCTGTGATTAAAACAACAAGAACAAACAAAAGCAGATACCTTCCTGCACACATGTGCCTTCCACTGGATCGCTGGAGAGGCCCGACTCGTTAGAAGTCGCCACGGACAAGGTTTCCAGAAGACTGTGCTGCTCTCTCTCATGAGTCCTCAGCTGACTCTAGAAAATAGAGAGCAATGAAAAGTAACGTTCAATAAATAAATATCGGTGCTCAGGAACCGGGAGGCTATGCATTGAAGGGAATTCACCGCTTTAATAGCCTCAGCTTTAAATTCACTGCGCTCTTGTGCAGTGCCATGGCGTCTGTCCCTGGGTCCCAAACACGGAAGCCCAGCCCCTCCACCACCCGCACAAGCTTCCCATGTGTGAGGCTGCTGATACAGCCACTGTCCCGGGCCATCTCACTGAGGGCCTTTCCATGTTTCCGCTGACTCTCTCTACTTTACCGAGCATGATACCCTTCTCTAGTGACTGGCCCTCTGGATAATACGTCCAAACACATGAGATGAAGTCTTCCCACCCTCACTTCTAGGCAGTCCTTCTTCCAAGATAGGTCTGTGCACTCTTTCAGCACATTAGCAGCATCTCAAAATAAAACCTCCTACAAGATAATGTGATGCATCTTACAGTAGGAAAATCGTGATCTCATTAAAAGTGATTTAGAACCCTCCTGCTTTCTTACCCATCTTGTCTGAATGCCGGTGAGTGGTGATAAGAGGAAACGGAAACTTGAAACTGTCTTTGACACACAGGCTCGTTTTTGTGTGAATTAGAGTTTACATTCTAAAGGACTTGGCTTGTGGACAGCTCTGATTTGCAATTTTTTCTGACTACTAACCAGCAATGTGGCAGGTTTGCCCTCAGGCCGAGTGTGCCAGAGAGTAAATAGACATTCCCCTGACTAACCCAGTGAGGAGCAGTCTTACTCTCAGAGAACCTGCCTGGGATCCTTGATAATTAACAGATGCATGCCATCTACAGTGTGGGGTTCTGGCCAGACCTACGGTTAAGAGTCAGATGTGGATGACGCAGGGCCGCATGGTCAAGTCACACATTGACCGCCAGGTCTGCATTTCAACCATGGTGACGTTTCCTCCCTTCTGGAGTAGACTACAACAGCGACGAACCCATCTACCGCCAGTCATGACTTCGTGCCTATTTCCCTGGTTTCCCATGGTCCTCTAGAATTAGCCCATGGCCCTGAGTCCTTCAAACACCACTGTGCCTTCATGCTGATGCTCCCCTCATCCAGATGATCTGCCTTATTTATTTAAGGATTTATTAAGGGGTCCCTGTAAAATGTTTGGGCTTGGGGTCATTTTCCTCCTAAAATAGTAAGTCAAAGTCAGTGGGATCCTAAGTCGTCTTTCCAGCAGGGCTTCTGGGGAACCTCTTGATTCTGAAACCTGTTTCCGATCAGCTCTCCAAGACCCCTGTGTATGTCTTGCTGTGTGCTTTTCTCATCTGATCCATTAAAGTGTTCTGTCTGCTGGCTGGCAAATGTTATCTCCGGGTTTTTAGGTGAAAAAGGCCTTTGATAGTCTCTTTCAGGATACCGGGGAAAACAGCAGTTAAAATTATGAGAAACCAAAATAAGATTCTAAGACGTGGCCTGTGCATGTTTCTCATGATTGTGCGTTAACACCTCTAAAAGTGCTTGCCTGTATCTACAGACTTACACATCCCATGAGGAACTGCATGTGCTAAGCTCTGGCCAAATCAGGTTTTCTTTGCTGCTCATTTTTTTTCTTTCTCTATTACAGTAGTTTTATCCTCATTGGTGGCGGCAATTGTGGCACTTTGGCTCTCTCTGCTAGTGTAAATTACTGTGGATGGGCAGGCGCTGTAAGTCTCAGAACATTGGGCACAGGCAGGCCCAGTGAAAGAGTGCAGGGTGGTCACCAGCTGTGAAAGACCATCAGACTACCTTGTCAGGATACGCTGGTTCAACTCTAGGCACATGGGGTTTAAGTGACTCATCATGCAAACCCCACAATTTCCTGTCCACATTTATGGAACCTAAGAGTCTTACACTTTGAACTAACTTGAACCTTCTGAAATTGGGAAATTTCCTATCTGGAGATTAAAATACAGAGTCCTGTCTGGTATACAGACAAGCACAGGCTCTATCACTTGTTTGTACTTCTCTGCTTAGCACAGTCTTATTAAGAACAGGCTAGATAAATATGTGTAGCCACTTAGGACATTCCCAAAGATTGATTCTGTGCTAGGAATTTCATGTAATCCTGGGAAACCAAAGCTTCAATTTAATTCTTAACATCCTTGAGAAATAAACCTTGATTCCCCTCATCCGCTTTATCATATAAACCCCAAATCAAACCCACTGCCAGAGTTGATTCTAAATCATAGGGACCCTATATTCGGGATTTCTGAAGCTGTAAATCTTGAAGGGAAACCCTGGTGGCGTAATGGTTACACACTGGACTGCTAACCACAGGTCAGCATTTCAAAACCACTCGAAGGGAGAATGAAGAAGCTTTCTAGCCTTATCAAGAGTTACAGTCTTTGCAACCCACAGGGACATTTCTATCCTGTTTCAAGAGTCAGAATCAACTCCACGGCAGTACGCCCTTTGTGTTGTTGGAAACCTTTATGAGAGTGGAAAGCCCCACCTGCCCCCTGTGGAGGGGCAAGTTGGTGTAAACTGTTGACCTCTAAAAATGTGTTTAATGTTGTGTTGTATGGCTACAGAATTTTGTTTCGTGTTGTTCTCTTTGTTTTACAAGGGGTACCCGCAAGACCCCCAGAATCCACTCCCAAGCTATGTGTGTTAGTCTGGGTAGACCAGAGAACCAAATCTAGAGAGACTCATGTGTAGAGAGAATTTTATATCAAAAAGTAACTATATATTAAGAACATATCCCAGCCCAGAGAATGTCCATTAAGTCCGAATATTAACTCTTATGTCTGATACTAGTCCATAAATTCCTCTTTAGACTCATGCAACACATGCAAAGATGTGGAATGCAGGAAGATCACAGGCCAATGGCTAGAAGGTCATGTGGATACAGTGGCAGTGGAAGCATCTCAGTGCTGGAACGGATCTCCACTTGTCTCTTCCACCTCCAGGGCTCTGGCTCCATCAGCATAGCTCCATGTGGCTTGTCAACAGGAATGTCTTGCAGCAAGAGTGTGAGCCCAACAGCCAGGGTAGAAGACAGGAGTTTCCAGAATCCTCAGAAAGCCATGCCCACACAGAGACCTGATTGACAGGCTAGACTCCACCCCTTCCTCAAGTTGCCAGATTATGTAACTGCCACACTGTGTAAATTTTTTTTTTTACAAAACCTTTTATCACCTTCAAAGTACTCTCCATTAAACTGAATACATCTGTCAAATCTGCGATTCCATTCTCGGAAACATTTTTCAAACTCATCTCTTTGGATGGCTGACAGCACCTCCCTTATTTTTTTCTTCACATCTACGTTATCAAATCACTATCCTTTCACATCCTTCTTCATTCGAGGAAACAAAAGGAAGTCGCACGGGAGAGGTCAGGTGAGTAAGGTGTGTGGGGCAAGAGAGGAATACCTTTTTTTTTTTTTTTGCCAAAAAATGGCACACTAAGATGGCTGCATGAGCAGGAACATTGTTGTGGTGGCAAAACCAGTCCCCAACAAATCAGGCCTTTTAAAAATTTATATTAAAAGATCATTTTTATTGGGGGCTCTTACAACTGTTACAATCCATACATCGATTGCATCAGGTGAATTTGTACATGTTGCCTTCATTCTTTTCTAGACAATTACTTTCTGTTGAGCCCCTGGTATCAGTTTTTCCCTCCCTACCCCCACTCATAACCCCTTGATTATATTGTTTTCATATCTCACACCAACCACTGTCTCCCTTCCCCCGTATTTTCTGCTATTTTTCCCCCTGGAGAGGGGTGTGTGGTTATGTGTTGATCACTGCAGTTGGTTCCCCCTTTCTCTGTCCTTCCCCCTACCCTTCTGGTATTGCTATTCCAACTCCTGCTCCTGGATTCCGTGTGTCACGAGCCCCCATCCCTCATCTACACCTGCATACATGCTCCAGTCTAGTTTGAGTTGAGAAGCAGCACTGGGGTCAGGATAGCTAGGGGTGAGGAAGTCTCAAGGAACCAGTTTTACTGCACCCTGGTTTACTCATCCCTTCCCTGTGGCCCCTCTGTGGGTGGATTGTTCCGTTGTCTCAAGATGGGTTTTGGATCGCTGCTCCAACCCCCCTCGTTTTCAACAGTATGTTTTTGTTATGTATCTTCTGATGCCTATTCCCCAGTCCCAATGATTCCTCATGATCGCACCGAGGATGTGCTTCTTCCATGTGGACTTGTTGCTTTTCTGCTGAATGGCTGCTTAACTTGTTTAACTTCAAGCCTTTAAGACCTCAGATGCTATACCTTTTAATAGCCGGGCACCATCCACCTTCTTCACATTTGCTTATGCACCTGTTTTGTCTTCAGCAATTATTAGGAGGGTGAACATCTCAGACTGATTTGCTAGGACAAAGTGTTCTTGTATTGAAGGAGGGTATGAGCAGAGGCCCAAAGTCCATCTACTACCTCAATGTATTGCCATATAAATATATGTACATAGGCCAATATCACTATTTTTATGCATTAATATATTTGCATATCACACTGCTATGCTTATACCACTATCCATTGCTTTGCTTCCTAGGTTCTTCCTGTTTCCTTTTACCTTCTTCCTGCCCCACCATCACTTTCTCCTTATTTGCGCCTTTTGGTACCTCTTAGCTAGTTTGCTGTTGCTCTGACACCACCCCACCCCATTCCTATCTCCTCTTTGTTGACTAGAGTACCTTAGTTGTTCCTGTCTATGGCACTGCCTGCTCACCACCCCTTTCCCTCACCACCCTCACCCCTAGGTCTCCCCGGGACTGTTGATCCTGCTGCTTTCTCCTCGGGCTGGCTTGCCATACTATCATATAGGTAGGCACACCGACTATGACATAGCTCAAACTAATACTAATAAAAGAATGAGAAAAAAGAAACAAGAAAAAGAAAAGGAAGAAAAGAAAAAAAAGAAAAAGAGAATATACAAAATTCCAGGCCTGTTCGGTGGCCTTCATGACTATCCAGGAGCTGCCCCTCCTGGCCTGGAGTCCATTTCTGGGGGGCTTCTCAGGGGCTTTGTAGC